GTAATTTTAGTTGTTGAGATAGTGCAGACATATTTATGTCTTCTTTTTAACCTTCCCTTCTCACAAAGTCCTGCCTCCGTAAACGGTTGCTTTAATGAACCAGAGGCCAGCTCCTTTGGTTTCCTAAGCGTTTACTTGACGTTAAAACCTGCAAAAACCCCTGCTTGGTTTTGTAGCCCAATTATGGGTTCTCCCTGTCTTAGAATTTTGATGTCAGGCTTTAGGCCAATAGCGTTTGCCCTTAATCGTTGCTATGGCCAATTTTCTTTCTCACTCTTTAGTGCTACGACCTGCGTTTTCCAGAGCTGGCAACTTCTCTGCGGTACCAGGGTGATGCGAATGTGTTAGCCTATCCATCGGCGTTTACAAAACTGACAGGAGAAGCCGGACACTGGCACACCCTTCTTCGGGCACGTGCAATAGAGACCCAGTCCTACGTTGTGGCTGCCGCTCAGGTACCTCCTCCTGCCTTTCTTCCTCATCGTCCTTATTACACCTATTTAACTTCCCATTCCTACTGCTGATAACGATATTTCTTACATATACAAGGATGCTGTACACAGCCCCAAATTCACCACATATGGCCACAGCCTGGTTGTCAATCCGTGGGGTCAGGTTATCGCAGAGTGCGAACAACCCGGTCCCGGGGTAGTCCTGGCACGCATAAATCACGACCGCAAGAAGGATGGCTTGCCATCAGCCGACCTGGACCAACTGCCTGCTACCAACTTCACGAGCTACGTTCGCAGTATTCTGCCCGTGTCCACGAGCCGACGCTTTGATCTTTATCCTCAAGCTGGTGGAAGTCAGCCGATACGTACGTTTTTTCTGTTAGTGGTCTTACCTTTTAACAGTGCTGGCGACTTTAATCACACAGTGGACATCGCATTTGGATAAATTCTGCCGCTCCCTTACAGTAAGCAAGTGCTGGCACTTCCACTCCGTGGGATGTTAATTAGGCATGGCAGTCTACCATGCGTCCGATCGGTCGGGTGAGGGAGGATGCAATGCAACTGTACTATCACTTATAGTTAATCCACGCGTTGGCCACCGTCCCTACTCCGCCATGCTGCAGAGCACACGATTGACGTTGTCGGAATCGGCAGTCAAACTGTCGGGTGCATAAGAACCCTCAGTATCTGCGCACGCTACGGTCCCCACAATCTATGTTTATGTGAAGTCGTTGGGCATCACGAGGAAAAATGATATTCAATTTTCGCCCATCGCGACAATTTTAACACGCTTACTGTGTTTATAGAGCCCAAACCAGTACATCGGTCAGAGGGAACGCACAGACTGCAATTTCTCATTGTCCATGTGAACTAAATACTCCACTAAATAGATTGCCAACCGTATATTAAAAAACCTACCAGATACGGTAAACTTACGGACCCATCCAAATATATGTTTTATCTCTAATTCCTTATTAGTTTGCCTCGTAAT